TTTTTCGTCCCCTGATGCCGGGGGCGCGCCATGCGGGGGAGAAAAGGGGGCGGAGGCAGCGGGTGGGTGGGTGGGTGGGTGGGTGGGGGGAAGTCGTGTCGAGTTTTGCCGCGGCCGCAGTGTGCGGCAGCGTGGCCGGCCCTCAATCTTTCCCACGCACTGGCCGCCTGCCCCCCCCCCGCCCCCTCTCAGTGTTACCTGCGTGTTATGTTTGCTGTTAGTGTTACTTCCCAGTTCACTGTCTTTCTTTCCTTCCTTCGTTTCCTCTCGCCCTCGCGCCCTCGTTGCCCCTTCGCCTCCTCGCCGCCGCCGCGACACACGCGCAGCGAGAGAGCCGGCGCACGCAACAAAAAAGAAAAAAAAACCGTCCGCGGCCAGGGGAGCCACACAAACACGCACTCCCCACACAAATCAATTAAAACTCGCAGAGTCAGACAACAAACACGAAGAATATATAAATATATTCTGCGTTTTATTTTTTCTTTTCCTCTTCTCCGGCTTTTGTGCCCGCTTTGCCGCCACGGAAGAAGAAGAAGGAGGGGGCGGCGGCCAGGCGACCGCGACGGAAGGAAGAGGCTGAGGGGGCAGCGGCGGCCACACACGAAAAAACAAAAACAAAAACTACTGCCGCGCGAAGACCGGCGATTTACGCTCGCCATCGCCGCTGGGCGTCACGCCGCTTTTGAGTGGGGCGGCGCTCCCTCCAGACACATGCGTGCCGGGGAAAAAAAAGCCCCTGTGCGACTGCCTCTATGACTGCAGCCCACGGCCCAAAACCGAAGGAAAACGCAACGGTTAAAACGGCCGGGCCCACACAGACACACACACACACATCTCTCCCCAATAAAAAGGGAAAAGGAAAAGGAGCCCCCCGCAAGACAGACATGCACGGCACCTCCGTGCCCACCACCTTGCGGCTCCATCTGTGAAAAACGGAGCCGAACAAACTCCTCCTCGTCATCCTCTTTGCCCCAAGGCTTGTGGTGGTTCCCTTTTCCGGCAGAGGAGGATCCACGCCGCTCCCACGCCCCAGCCCTCCCCCTCAGTTCCTCCAGAGATTTATATATAGTCTTTTTTTTTTACTTTGTCCCCTCCTCCCCTTGCGGGCTTTGCCGCCTCCACATCTCTCTCTCTCTCTCCCTCCCTCTCGCTTCTCCACGGAAACAGAGCAACACCAACGCTTCCCCCTTGTGCCCGCCGTCGCATCACGCACGCACACACAACACCACGGCAAGAGGGGGGAGGGAAAGGGGGTGCAGCGAGTGCGCAACGGCGGGACCGAAAGTTGGAGGCAATGAGAAACAAAAACAAAAGGAAAAAAGGGAGGTGCACAAGATCAAACTGAAAAAAAAAACCGCCATACACTGCCGCGGCGTCCATCTATTACAAGTTGTTGTCGTTGTTTTTTTTGTTCTCCTTTGGTCTCGTTGTTTTCCTCCCACGGATCCTCTCCTCCCTCCACTCTCCTCGCCGTCCCCTGTCCCCCACCCCCATCCTAGTTCCCGTTGGCTTGTTCTTCTTTTTTTTTCTTTATTGGTTTCATTTATTCCCCTTCGCTCCTTTTCTTTTTTTATAAGCGGAGAGTAAAGATTTTTTTTTCCTTCTTTTTTATGCCGTTTGGTCCCCACCACCGCCCGCGCAGGAGGAAGCGAAGGCGAGAGGGAGGGAGGTCCCCGTCCCGCTTCCTCCGGCCTTGCGTGCCTTCCCTACAGTGTGAAGTCCGGTGTTATTCTTATGGGTTTCCCCCGCATTCGCCCCGCCAAGCTACCCGCCGCGCCAACCTGCGTCTGCTGGTGGGAAAAATACTCCAGCTTCTGCAACGGCTTTGCGCCAATAACTTTTTCTAGCAGGTTCCTTAGGCTGACGGCCATTGCCTTGAGCTTCCGCTGGTCGGAGTTCGCCGTCCATATCTGCACTGTGGTGGGCTTGTTCTGCCGCACCTTGAGCATGATGCCGTTGAGGTTCGTCGTGCTCTCCGCGAGCGTCTCCCCGCAGCAAGCCATAAGCATCGTCATGAAGGCGTCGTCCATCGCCTGCTTGCTGTTGTGCCCCGGCTTGTCGCGGTCAAAGATGACGATGGTGATGGTCCCCCCGTTCTTGTTCCGGGCGTGTTCCCAGTTGGGCTTAATTTCGCGGCGGAACCAGTGGTACGTGAAGGCGGGCACCAACGCCGACGGGGGCGGCAAATAGCGCCACAGACGCCAGAAACACTCCACGTTTCCCACCAGGTTGACGAGGACGGGGTCGTAAGCTAGTGGAGCCCCAAACGGGGTCGGGTGATCATCTGCGTAGAGTGCCCAGACGGTGTTAAACCGCACCGGCTCCGCAGGCGGGGGCTTCGCGACAACGTCCACCCCAAAAACTTCTGGGAGGACGGAGCCGCTAAAGTCATTCTCCACCGCCTCCGCTAACGCACCAGTTTGCTGCAAAAGAGTGCTATTATTTTCATCCGCCAGAGAGGCGGAACCAAGTGAGCCCTCGTGCCCAGTGGAGTCCAGTCGATGAGCGAAACCAAGCGTCTGCGCCTTTAGTGCCGAAGGCGATTGCTCCTTCTTCACTTCTCGCTCTTCTTGCTGCCGTTGCTCTCCCTGCTGCGGCTCAGGCTGCGACGTCTTTGGGGACGGTGTCTGCGCCGCCTCCTTGG